TCCTGTGGTAAAGCGGACTGTGCCTAGTTTCAGCTGTTAAATTAGGTTTGGTAAGAACATTACAAGGTATGGGAACTGCTTAGTGATGATAGATCTCAGAATTGCCTAAAGCTTACTTCAAAGCTTAAAAATGGGATATAACTGAGTGCTCATATATATATATAATTTATATATATAATTTATATATATAATTTATATATAATATATGCTTTTAAAAATGTTTTTTAAAAAGCATTTTATGAATTTACACTAGCATAGCAAAGTTAGGAGCTGGCCCATCTTGAAAAGCTGGCTTTTAAGGGCTTCATACACCACAAGAGTGATGGGAAATCTCTTGGTGTTTTCTATTCACATTGGTCAGCATAGGTGAGCTGGTAGCCTTAGGATACAAACCCAATTCTCACTGCATTTTAATGAAAAAAGTAAATGTCATTTCTGAAGAAGCATTGATGCATTTAACTTTTTACAGTCATGTGTGCTGTGTCTTGCAATGCAATAAACATGAAGGCAGCAATAACAGCTCCTGATTTCCTTTACAATGCAACAGCTCTATTAATAGTTGAGCACCTTTCTCATTAGTATGTGTGACACTTGGCAACTCAAATGCAAGAATACTTTTCATGTGAGAAGAATAACATCAGACTACACTACATAAATGATTTCTGAAGGAACACTTTTATCAGACCCAAAAACCACACTTCTGAGACTGCTATCTAATTAACAACATTTTCTTTAAACGCTTCAGTTTAAAATCTTGCTACCTTTTGGTTTTGATGTGCTAATAAACCACCCTTTCAAAAATGCTTTCTTTTGACCTGAAAGTCCCCCTTGCTCAGCCTAACAACCTTTTATTTTCTCCCCTCTTACTTGTGTATCTGTAGCCCATTTGATGTTGAAGACTTGACCCCATCCACGGGAAATGTGAGCAAGGCATCTGCTCTCCAGAGGAGAATGTCCATGTACAGCCAAGGCACTCCTGAAACACCAACCTTCAAGGACCACTCATTCTTTGTAAGCTCTGTTTGGCTTTGTGTTTATGTAACAAGAAACCTTAGAGCAGTTCAAACACTGCAAACATTTCACTGCTTTACGTGTCTCAGCTTTTTTTGCCCTGGTTCCAGCAGGTTACCCTTACAAATACATACAAAGCAAGTGCATTCCTAGCTGCTAATCCTTAAAGAAGGTGACTATGATCCTGGCATCTTTGAAACTATGTGGCCAATTAATGCATACCTATCCTTCCTGCCTGACTGCTGTGATGCTTGAATAATCTTTAAAAAATGTGTTTTCATTTTGCAACAGTAGTTAAACAACTATTATAGCACAAGTATTTTTAAGTATCCTGTGATAAAATTTCCCCCGTACTGAAGATATTCACAGGGTGTTCCTACATTTTGCATGAATTGAATTCTGAATGCTTAATCAGGCCATCTGTACAGAGATTAACTTTACAAGTGCCACATCCCATGCCTGTAACTTAGTACTCTGCTGCAAAGCATTCATTTAACTTGCCCTTCCTCACACCCTCTTTGCTTTAACTGTTGAAGAAATGGCTGCATCCCCTGCAAGACAGGCCAAAGTTGACAATCTTAGATGCTCTTCAAGACACTTTCTTTGACAAGCTTCGTCGCAGTCGCTCTTTTAGTGACCTGCCATCGCTCAGGCTAAGCCCAAAAGCAGGGCTAGAGCTATATGTGAGTCCTGGTTTTTGTTTGGTGAAGGAGTTTTTCAGTTCCTGTGTGGCATTTCCATTCCCACGCATGCTTCATGTGTCGCTCTCTGTTGCAACTTGCTCATTTTGCTGACTGATTAGAGGGCAGGACATAACTGTGAGCCCATGCAGCTCACATTAAATCAAAATTCCTCTTGGTTTCTACAGAGATAATGATCAGAAATCAGCTGTCTGTGGGCAGAGAACAGGGCAGGAGTACAAGCCAACAGGGTTCTTAAAAATCACCTGCTGCGCTGATTGACGCTCTACATTTGCCTAGTAACATGACTTTCAGAAGCTAAAAGCATGCCCATGTCAAGGGAAAGAAGAAATAAACTTTTGACTGTGATTATGTTTCGGGAAAAAAAAGCTGCTAATAATACTAGAAAAAAATTTCAAGTTTTGGACACTTAAACCTTAAGCTTAGCAACAGGTGGATACCTACAGTTCTTTCCAGCAAATTGTCAGCAAAATAGTAGTTGCCTTCCATCAGTGCCATGCATTTCCATGAGCTGGCCACATAACAAAGCAAGGTTTGTAGGTTAGATAGGCAGGTTGTGACTCCTATAGTGATTTTTCCCCATATGTCAGTCAGAGATGAACATCTATATATATATTTCTGCCATGATAAGTCTGGAGTCTGCATAGGCTGGTTTTGCTTCTTTAATGATCAGTGTCCTGCTCAATACACCACCAATTTTGCTGACTCAGTTCAGCAGAAACATGTTGCATGGAACTCCTGTATAACTCTTGTTCAACAATTGTTACAGATATCCATGCCATGTGCAGGACATTGGATAAAAAGAAATAGCACGGTACTGTCACCATTTAACCACCATGACACTAGAGAAACTTTTGGAGCAAAATTTTGTGCTGTGTTTTACAGATTGCTACTTTAGAAGTCAGAAAATAAGTAGAATAGAAATCTGTAATGAGCAGGAAAATGCAGACAAGGTGGCTTACGTACAATCCCATTAAAAAGAGCCATGGTACAGGAACTAGAGCAGTGCACTGGAAATGCTGTTTGAGAGAATACAGGGTGAGCAGAATTCATGACTCTCTCTGGAGATCATTTCCTAGAGCTCTCTATTTAGCAGAGAGATGCTGAGGCCAGGTTTTCCAGAAGTTTTCACACTGAAATTGAGGAGCTATGGCAGATGAAAGCGGAAGTTTGATTTGAAATTTTTTTTTCCATCTCTCAAGTCTTGAATGCTTCTTTAATCTTTTGCCTTGCCTTTTTCTTTCCTGGGCACATGCTGTTATTTTTTTCCTCTTTCCAATGCTGCATGAAAAACATTTTCTCCCTATTATCTTTTCAGTCAAATTTGCCAGATGATGTCTTTGAAAATGGGACAGCAGCCACTGAGAAGCGGCCTCTCTCCTTCACTTTTGGTGACCTGCCTTACGAAGACGCCGTGCCCCCTGCCAATTCAGCAGAGTCCTCGTCTGCTCATGTCAGCTCCAGCCCTGACATCGCTGTGACCCCCACCCAGCACCGAACCCTGGAGTCCTCCCAGAGCTCAAGCCTGGACTGTAGCAGCAGCGACTCCCGCAGAGACTCTGTTGCTGAGCCAAAGGACCTGCTGTCCCACGGAGAGGGAGCGGTGGCTGAGAACAAGAACACCCCAAGGGCAGCTCCTGAAGTTTGCCAAAAGATCTCCGATGCTGGGAGCGATCGTGTCTTTGTAGAAACGAGTGTGCCGGTGTCTCTCCTGCAGGACACGGATGAAGGCTCAGAACTCAAGCCTGTGGAGCTGGATACCTATGAGGGCAACATCACGAAGCAGCTGGTCAAAAGGCTTACGTCAGCAGAGACACCCCTGACCCCAGAGAGGCTGCCGTGTGAGGGATCCATTAGTGGGGAATCAGAAGGATATAAGTCCTATCTCGATGGAAGCATTGAGGAGGCCTTGCAAGGGCTTCTCTTAGCTCTTGAGCCACATAAAGAGCAGTATAAAGAGTTTCAGGACCTGGATCAAGAAGTGATGCATCTAGATGACATCCTAAAAGTGAGTACATTTTCAGAAAATGCTACCCTAAAGAAAATCTGAGCAGGTAGAATGTCCTTGCCTGCCTCGTAGACATCAAAGTAGGCTTTCTGGACAATAGTAGAATTCCCTGGTAGCAGTAGACTTGCTCCTGCTTGGAGCATCTTTTCACAATGTTGCATTTTTAAACTTTTGTCAGCAATGTGCTTATCATAACCTTGTGTCCTCAAGCAATAGAACTTTTAGCAAAACCTGGGGGAAAGAGAAAAAGGTGATATGACAGAAGGGTAATTAAATTATACCCTTCTCTCAAGGCTTTGTGAACCATTGTGAATCACCTCTTTTGAACCCATTGCTTGTGCCATACTGGGGATCAAATATAGCCAAACTTCTGCCTTTGAAATCTATGAGTCACATCCTCAGTGGGTGTACTTTAGCATACTGCCCCTGAACTCCGTGGAGCTGTGCAAAACTACACCAGCTGAGGATCAGGCCTTGTAGTCATAGAAGCTGAATTTTCTAAATTGCCACAGGGATTTAGAAGCACAAGTATCACTGAAGGTTGCTGTCCCCTTGTCACCTAGACATGGCCTTTTCCTTTTTCCCCTCACCCATTTTCATAATGAGAGACATCCTGTCATTACATCAAGATGCAGAGAATAATGTTAAAAATTGGAAGAAAAGGGATTTGCATGTGTGTTGTTAATATGTTTACTGCAGGTCACTGTTATTTTAGCTCCCCCATGAATAACAACTCATGGCACGTTACTCTGCAAACAGTATTATATGGGAAATAATCATTTCAAATGCTTCATATTCATATGCAAGTTGGTCATTTAAGCCTCATAATTCAAAAACAAGGCTGAGGAGGAGGCAGGGAATAATTTATTCTTCTGCATTATCTTTTTACAAAGAAACTTTGTTAACCTCCTTATTTCCATTGCATGGTACTTTCCCAAGTTAAGTGGTTTTTTTTGTCAGCCTGCAGCCCCTGTTCCTTGCATAATTTATTCCTAGAGAGGTTCAAGCAGGCAAAGGTACCATTACTATTATTTTCTAACTTGGTACAAGAGGTCAACTCTCCAAAGGGCAGAGACACAATGGAGACTGTTTATTTAGGCTGCTTTGATCAGAAGTTGCAAACAGACAGACATGGGATGGGGGCAGAGAGGATGGATGTGTGCAGATAGGATTCCTGCACACTCGAGATGGACGCCTCTTCAGATCTGTTGAAGTCTGGGTATCACCTATTGATCAGTTCACAGACTGGCACTCAGCATCACCAGCAACTATGCAGAAAAGGGCTCCTCTTGCAGAAGGGTTGAGCTGGAATCCAGCTGTGGCTGAAGAAACCTCTCTTGGCCATATTAGATGAGCAGAGAAAATGGCCCACATGTTGGTGTTCCGTTTGCTTGAAGAAGCTGCACTACCAAGCCCTGAAGGAAATGGAAGCAGAAACCATTGATGCTGCAGAAGAAGCAGGATACAGCACTCATCCTTTGCACAGATGTGTTGAAAAGTGTGTCTGATCAGCTATGGACTGTACAGTCAGTTTAAGGACTCAGACATCCTAAGTGCAAATGTATGACTATTAGTGTTGTGTCCAAATGAATTACAAATGGAACTCCAACTCCCTTCAGCTCTAGAGCAGCTGGTGCTGGATCTGAACTCCTCAGAGGCATTTTCTCATTTTCTTTGAGCTGAGACAAAGTCACAGCTCCTGCTTGGGACTGGAGGATGTGGCCTGTGTAATGGCACCAGTGGCTCATGACTGTTTCTGATCAAATAATCACATGATGTGAAAGATATTGAAGTCATTGCACCAACCAATGGAGATGATCCCTCAAGTTACATCTGATTCTTCAGGATAACCTTGGAAGCAATTCTGTGGGCACATGTGGATGGATGGGGCCAGGGTATTTCATACTTCTTACAGCAACAGCAAGGTTTCCTTTGTGTTTCTTCCCTTCATTGAGGTGGGGATGGTCTCCCCCCTCTCTCTAGTACTATTTCTGAGCTACAGTACTGCCTTTCTCTGTCACCTAGGAATCCAATACCTTATCGGCTTTTCCTTGATAATCCATTTGGCTTCAAAGGCCACAAAACTCCTTTCATTCCATTAATAAATGTGCAGCTATGGGATGAAATTCATTCCTGGCTAAGGTCTGTTAGAGTTACGTCTGGAATAAATCAGGTAGTGCCATTGGATATGTATAAGTTGGCTTCTGTAGCTAGAACAGCAATTAAGGAATGTGCCTTCCCCTTTCAACTTCCATTGCATTAATTCCCAGTCATTCCTTTTGGAAAATGCCGAGAGCTGTGAAACTTGGATTCAAGAAGTACTTCTCATTTCTATAAAACAAGTTGAATTTTGCCTTTGAGGGTTTTCCTTTGGGGAACAGAGTGGGTAGCATGAGGAGGGGAGGAGGAATGAAAGGCTTTCCCCAGTTCTCAGGCTTTGATTGTATATGCTATGAATATGAAGGCTTGAAATGAAACACCCAATAAAATGAAGTTTTAAAAATAAAATGAAGAATTTGAAGTTTTAAGCTTTATCATTCTTTTTTCTTATCTTTCTTGTAGTAGCTAATACCTGGGGTTTTCATTGGTTCGTTCTGCCTTTGCAGTGCAAGCCAGCAGTAAGCCGAAGCAGGTCCTCCAGTTTAAGTCTAACAGTTGAAAGTGCTTTAGAAAGCTTTGATTTCCTGAACACCTCTGACTTTGATGATGAGGATGGTGGTGGTGTGGAGGTTTGTAATGGTGGAGGAGGTGCAGACTCAGTATTTTCAGATACTGAGATTGAGAAGAATAGGTAAGTTTGTAGTACCTGCCAGCTGTGCTTACGCCAAACTGACACCCTGGCTCTTTGTTACTAACAGGGGATCCTGGTGCACAATTTATTCAAGGAAGACTGACTAATCCTTGATGAGTTTTAGGGTCAGAGGGCTCCCCATGGCTGCTGCATACAAAATCTTTACTTTCCAGGACCATTTTTTTTCTTCTGTCCAAATATATGTAATCTGTCCTCCAAAGGAGAAGGGTAAATTAAATTAGGCTGACATCAATACTGGCAGAGCCTCTTCCTTGACATAGGTTTGGACCTGGCTTTCCTTGGATGTAATTACTAATTCCTCTATGGTTTTTCCCCCCTCCCTTTGTCTTTTCTCTCTAGCCGAATGAGTCTTTGCAGTGGATTAAGCTTGTCAGTAACAATAACACAGGGCCAGATTTAAGCAGCATGATGTAGGTTGCCTTTGGAATGTAAGAGTGATGACTGGTACTCTGTTCATGGCCCTGCGTGTTACCTGCCCTTCTTTCATCACTTTTGGTCTTTCTGAGAAAAAAAAAAAAAAAAAAAAAAAAAAAAAAAGCAAAAAACCAGAAAACAAAAAAGCTGTGGTGTTGTGCCGTGGCCTGCCATTGTTGTGTGACTTTAAGATGCTGTGCTTCAATCATTGGATCTCAAAAGCATGTTTGCCTCCTTTGAGCTGAGACGATGCCCAGCAGGCATGTAAGCGGCACTAGAGCTGGAAAAAAAGAGAGGAACATGGTTCCCTCCCTGCCTGCACTTTCCAGCCAGGGAGCTATACTACTCACAGCTTGCTTAAAGCAATTTGAGTGCAATGAACAATCACTGTGCAGTCCCCATCATCTCATGTCCTCATTCCAGAATAAGACTTGGTGGGAAAAAAAATTTGGGAAATTGTGTTTCTTGCTAAACTGGCACTCTGACCTCAGTCCAGTCTGTGCTCGTTTATGGATCTAGCTTCAACCAGTTAAAATAGAAATTAAAATTGCTTTTTTTCCCCCTCTGGCTCATCCCCAGACAGTGCAGATTCCCACTTCCATTTTTAGATGTGTAAGTGTGTGACTCAGTGTAAAGATTGCAAGTGTTGAAACTTCTGAACTTGCAGCCAAACACACTTGCCATCTGGGGACTGACCTCAGGCTTTGCATTTAAACACAGGGAGGATCATTTGTGCAGCAAGACAATATTGGAAATAATGATTTAAAGCACAGTAAGACTAGCTCTACACTCTTGCAGAAACAATTGGCAAAGTAAGCTGTACACATTGTGTCTAAAACTGCATATGAAAACATCTTGTCTCTTACTTCAGCAGTGGTTTGCCTTTCCTTCTGCAATGAACCTTAAATTTAACAGCAGGGGGACTCTGGAAGCACAGAGCTGTTCTTAGCAGCTCAGTGCTTGGGAAGGTACAAATTGTCATGGTTCTTAATCCAGAGCGACTGGGCAGGTGATTCATCACAGACGGGAGAAAGCTGTCACCACCAAGGGACAGTAACCATGACAAACCTTGCTGTTGAGGACATCACATCACTCAAGGCAAGCCAGTCAGGGGACAGGTCTGTCCCCTAGATGGGCATGTCCCTCCTGTACTCAGGCAGGGTAGCCCTGCTCCTTTGTGATATGATGTGCCCATCACCAGGTTTCTGTGCGCTTTCAGCTCTTCTGCCGTGCTCTTTGCTCATCACCTTGTGTGTGACTGGGGGTGTGGGTGTGTGTCTGCTGTGGCAGCTGCCGGCCCTGCACTGACCTGCTCCTCCCTGCCTCCTCCCCAGTTACAGGACGGAACACCCAGAAGCCAGAGGCCACCTGAGCGAAGCTCTCACCGAGGACACGGGCGTGGGCACCAGCGTGGCTGGCAGCCCTCTGCCCCTGACCACAGGCAACGACAGCCTGGATATAACCATAGTTAAGCACTTGCAGTACTGCACCCAGCTCATTCAGGTACCAGCCCTGCCTCATTTGGGCATTTGTTTTAAAATCATTCCTGCCTGCAGCATGGGTACAAGCAGGCTGGCACGGTCAGCACTGCTCCTGCTAGGCAGTGGGAGCTCAGGGCTGGGACAGACACCATGCTGGGGTAGGATGGTGACACCCTGAGCCCAGCCAGAATTGTTTCCCTCGTTTCCATCCTGGCCCGTTTCAGAGCAGACCTGGCACGTGAGCTAAGGGGTTCTTGGCATGAGCTGCCCAGGAGGGCTGAGGGGCAGGGCAGTGGGGGACAGAGTTTGCTCTGGGTTGCAAACTCCTGCTGGCTTTGCTGGTAGGTCCTCAGTGGAGTCGGCTCCCAGTTAAAGCAGCCTGTCTTCAGAGGTAAAACAGGAACCCTGTCTCCAGTGTTTAACTGAGCCCCAGATGAATCTGCAGCATTCAAGAGCAGAGATGAATTTTTGTACACGAGGCAGAGAGATTCTGCAACAGGCACAGTGAAGACAGCATGAGACAGCCCCCCAGGATACCAAAATTGCCAGTTCATGCTCACAACTAGAGGGGTTTTTCTGTAGGTTTTTTTTTCAGAGCCCATGCACAGCAAATGTGAATTTAAACACATTTAAGTAAGTGAGGTCATCAGGGTTTTCCTGACAAATTGAAACATGCTGCAACTTCCTCTTCACAATTATTTTACTGTTCCATCTTAGTTATAATTAGCTTTATTTTCCCAAAGGCTCATTGAAGCAATAGGGAGCGAGCCTGATTCCAGCACCCTTAGTGCTCAGCTGGAAGCTCTGCTGACTCACACTATGAGAAAAAGGGAGGTTTTTTGGTTTCAATACAAGAGTATACAGTAAATATGCAGCTGTGTGAGGTGAACTTGAACCACATCCACACACAAATCAGATTTGATATGAACATTATTTACATAGACTGCTGAACAAGATGCAGATATCAGCAGTAGGGAGTATTAGCAAGAATTAATTAATAAAATTAATAACAGCACCTAAATAATTGATCAAAGCTGAAATGGAGTGGAGAAAAAGCAACCTGTGGTTTTCCTCTGAGGGTTGTCCTGAAAGTCTACAGTCCTTGTTGTGTGAAAGTCAGACTAATATTCTTGCCTAGCTTTAAGTCTTGTGGTGATGGGTTTCTTTAGCTTTGTGGAGTGTGTAAATCAGAAATTACTTACACAAATGGCTACGTGGATACTCAGGTGTTTGGATGTGGATGTAGATATTGAAGGTACAAGCCGTGATGCATATCAACTAGGACCAAAAAATATCCCAACAACAAAAAAATTTTTAAGTTAAGGAGATCTTGTGGTTTGAGACAATGAATTTGTCTTTGCACTTCAGGTGTTTTGGAGTTTTCTTTGTTTTTTTGGAGGCTGGGTTTCCTTTTGGTTCAGTGACTCCTTTTTGTCTCTTCCTATTTGTCTTCACCAGCAAATTGTGTTCTCCAGTAAAACACCATTTGTGACAAGAGACCTCCTGGATAAGCTGTCCAGGCAGATCCTCGTGGTGGAGAATATTGCGGAGATCAGCACTGAGAACTTGGGAAACATCACCTCTCTTACTGATGGTAAGAAACAGCTTAGGGGCTTTTCCTTCTGACAAGGATTTGCCTGGGCACATGTGTCTGCTGAAATAATCACTGTGCAGAACTCACCAGCAGTGCAGGAGATGCCACTGTAGCAAGGGCTGGCTCAGGGTCACCAGGAGGTGCGGCAGTCAAGGCAGGTGTCACCTACATCTGTCCTCAGTGCTGAAATATGCAGGTGAGAAGAGAAAGGACTTCTTATCCAGCCTGATGTGCAGAAGATGGACAGATGTCATTGGTGTTATGGGGTGGGGATACTTCCACCTCTGAAGACCCAAATTCTTATTCCACCTTTCTTTCCTGAGAAAAGGCAGGATTTGCATTATAATATCAGAGGTATAATACAACTTCTTGAACATTTTCATTTTTAGTTATCTCTATCTAGAACTTCTTAGTTATTTTTCTTTTTGCATCTGTTTTAATACTTGGAAGAGTTTGACAAACACATAGTTATCCTCATGTACACTCTGGCAGGAAAGGTAAATACTACAAGGTGCATTTACTATATCAGAAAGTTGAGGCAAAAATTGAGTGACTTACTTGAAGCCAAAAAGTGTAGTGCTAGGACAGAGACCAAACTTGTGCAGACCATTTGTGGTGTTCCCCTGGTATTTTGTGCTATTTAAGAGGAAGAGATATCAATGCTGAGAACTGAATCAGGAGCAAATTTTCTCACATTACCATGGGAAACAGAAAAAACATGTTACAAACATGGGGTGAGCACGTGGTCATGCTCTGTGAAGGTAATGGCTCAGGGAGACACAGCAAATAGGATAGGGCAAGATGTTTGCTTCCTGAGACCCATTCTTACCTTCTTTTCTCAAAGCTGATGCTTCCAGCACGGCTTTGTTTCATCATTCATTCTGTCTTCCCCAGCAATTCCAGAGTTCCACAAGAAGCTGTCACTGCTGGCTTTCTGGATGAAGTGTACTGGCCCTTCAGGAGTGTATCACACCTCTGCAGACAAGATGATGAAGCAGTTGGACATCAATTTTGCCACCACTGTGAATGAGGAGTGTCCAGGACTTGCAGAAACAGGTACAAACTGCTGCAAAAAAGTGTCAGCCATCAAAATGGAGAACAGTTGTGTACTGAGCTTTGTTTTCCAACCCCTTGGAGATCCGTTTGGCCACAGTTCCAAGACCTCATTTGAAAACTAATGCTCTTGAAACAGTTTTGGCCCCAAATAATGAAAAGAAAAGAAAAAAGTGAGGTTAACAGAAAAGAAAATACTGTTTTAAGGTTTATGAGCTAATCAGAAAGAAAGTCTATTCCCAAATACAGATTTGTAATTGATTCAGTGAATCAGGAATCCTTCAACTTAATTTTGTGGATCTGTATAATTCCCACACCCATTGCAGTGCACTGGGATGAAATTAATCCACATTCAAGTGAGTTTGTCTAAGCACAGGTTCTTATCTTGTGTGGGATGTCCCCCACCTCAAACTCCAGCTATACTGACTAGCTCTCCCTTGGACAGAACAGAGATGGAGGCTTATTTACCCAAGTGTGGCCACCTGCACTCTGGATGCCCACACAGGGCAGTGTTCTCCTTCCTGCTCCATGCTACAGCTCTCACAGGCAGTGCCTCAGACTAGCTTTCTAGCGCAGGAAGATGAAAAATAGCAAAGCCAAATCCTGCCTCTGTGCACATCTCCCCTGCCTCAGTGGCACTGTGGGGATGTAGCAGGCAGTGCATGTGGACAGGGGTTTACGATGCAGGAAATTGTTCAGGTAGAAATGATGCTGTTTTGATTGCACAGGAAACTGCACTAGCCATCTGTAAACTGGCAGAGGTTCATCCTTACAAAGATATTCTCTGCTAATGAGACCCAGACAGGAAGAAGGCCTGTCCAGCTTCTAACCTAACCACAGCTGAGTTTAGAGACATTGGGAAGTATCTGGCCTTGCAGATGAGGTTCTTTCTTCCAGTTTTGAAGTGGACTGCGTAATTTTGCCAGCAGCTTTTGCTCTCACTAACTTGTCCCTTTGTCCATGGTTGCCTGCAGTCTTCAGGATCCTGGTGTCTCAGATCCTGGACCGGACAGAGCCTGTCCTCTACTCCAGCATGTCCTCCGAGACCATTACTGTCTTTCAGTATTACAACTACTTTGCCAGCCACAGTGTCAGTGACCTTGGAAGCTATTTGCTGCAGCTCGCAAAAGAAGGTAGGGTATATAAATTCTGCTGGCTGGTTAGGGAGTACCTCTCTGTCCTTCTGAGCTCAACACAAAGCAGTTCAGCCCTGAGGCTGGTTTTACAAAAGGAGGAGAGAAAAGAGACAAACAAGCGTCCTGGCTATTAAGTGAATGCACCTGAACTGTTGTACATGTCAAGGGAAAGGAGCTGATGCAGACAGACCCTCAGTCATTTCTGTTTCCATATTCAAATAAGAAAAAAAAAGTGTTTTGAAAGCACTGTTTTTTAGGGAATGGCTGATGGTGGTGAGCTGAGCCTAAAGTCTGGGAAGTTTTCTGTGCTCACAGCTTGGATGATGTCTTGGTCTTTCACCACCTGTTATGGAGACACCTTCTGACATGCTGAGCAATTCTCAGGGACCAAGGGATCACAGCACCTCAGAGTTTTGCAGGCTCTGCTACCAAGAGCTAAAGAGAGAAGCAGGTGCTGCACAAAGTGTGCTGAACTGCAGTCCCTGGCAAGCCAAGTTTTCTTCTCTATTTGAGAGGGAGTTTGAGGAACCTTGCCTAGTGTTCCTTTTTGTTTGGGCATACAAGGGAGCTTTTGCTCAAAAGCCTGGAAGCCAAATAGCATTTCAACTCACCTCTGAAACATACTAGCCCTAGCTCTTGTTGGCTGACATCAATCTATCCAGGAAAAGCTCTCACAAAGATGCTCTGAAAATCAATACACTGGCAAGGATATTTGGTTTCAATTGTTAGGGTGAGAATTTACAACTTCCAGCAGAAAGCAGAGATTTGACAGGGGTGCCTGTAGCTCTGGGTAGGTCTAAGTGCTGCACTTGGGCCCATCTACTCATCTCCTCCCTGGAAGAAGGTCTGAGAAACTGGCCCAGCTTAAAACCCAGACAATTCCCCATGCAGACACACTGCCATGCTGCAGTTGCTCAGATGGGAATATTTTCATATCCTCAGTGTGTGTCGTATAAATCAAAGATTGCTAGCGAGGAAAGGATCAATCCAAAGTACAGAGAGGATAAAGCAAGTAACACAGACCTTTTTCTTGCACTTCCAGCGTCTGTGGTTCAGGTGCTGCAGTCAGTGAAAGATGGAAAACTGCAGCAAAATGTGTCCAAAATAAACTCCAATAACCTTCCACCACAGCAGGAAGTTTTAAGAGCTTTGGCTTTACTTCTCAATGAAAATAAAAATGAAGTCAGTGAGACTGTGGCATCACTTCTGACAGCAACTGCAGAAAACAGGCACTTCAGGGAGAAGGTAAGTGGCAGAAAATCACCTGTCGCATGAGAGACCTGTTTCATCATGACCTTTTTCTACCTGTATGTCTCAAATATCTGTGCATATAAAGTCACTGATCCAAGCTTGATTTAAACTGATCCAGAGGGATATCCTGTCTAATTTTCCTGCACATGTGCAGGTCTGTTTCTGTCTTTATGCCAGTTTGCTTCTACCTGTCATTACGCTAAACAGGTACCAATCAAAACTGCAAATACTTACTGAGTGCTGTGCTCTCCAGCTATCTTCCACACTACAGCATTTCTGCTGCCCTGTCTCAGACTTGGCTTCAGTCCAAGGCTTCAAGGTAACAATCCCCAGCACTACCAACACACAAAGATGTAGGTCTCAGATTTTTTTTCCCAAAGGAGTCTGCCATCTATGGGACTTCCCACCATTTCCAGAGGGGATGGACGGCCTTGGGCAAATGCAGCTCAGCTGTGAGAACTAAGATTTGAGTCTATCTCTGATACCAAATGCAACAAGCAGGGTCAGGTTAAACACAGAAATTAAAGAGAGGGAAGAAGGAGGCGTAAGAAGAAATTAGGGATTGGCTCCTACCCTTTCATGGCAGACCTTTCCCTACCATCCATCTTGCTCTCTGTCATGATAGAGCAAAAGAAAAGGCAGCTGGAAGAGTGGCAGAAGGAAGGCAAAGGGAAAAGTCTTTGCTTCTCTTGTCTATCAATCCAGTCCCCTCTTTGCTTGCCCTCCCACTTCATCTTCCATTTTTGCAGCCTCTTGGTACTTCATACCATCCTTCTCCCATCCCCAGTTTCCTGGTGACAGCATCTCAGGGCAAGTATAACCTTCTCCTGGAACAGGCATGCGTAGCTGATACCTGGTCCACTGCCTGCAGGAAGGACCACAGAGTGGCTTCTGTGAGAGTATTATGCAGCCTTATGCTGCAGATGAATTCATTGTGCAGATGAATTCATTGTGCAGCTGAGTGCTGCTGAGATTTGCTGCTTAGTATTAGCTACTAATTTCTAGGGTCAAGCAGTAAACTGGTCTAGCAGCTCATTGTAATAATTATTTTAAGTCTCCCTGGGATCTATACCAACTAGTTCATTATTGTCCTTACATTAAAGAGACCATCACAAGGGCCATCTCTTGAGATATTGGACTCCAAGGCCCACTCAAAGCTCTTTGGTGATATATGGTGAAAGGCCTTCAAAGGTGCCAGATTGTGCATCTCACTTTAATGTGAACTTCTCCTCCCCAAAAGTTGGCCTGAGACTGCTGACCTATGACTAGTGCTCTGGCCTGGATCTGCTGTAGGGAATTATCCCGCCTGTGCCATCCTACATGCTCCCTGTCAGGGAGGCAGGCTGCAATTGCTCTCCCTTTAACAGGGCAGCAATACCTCCATGCTCCACCTTTCTCTATGGAGCAACAGACATTTTCATTGCTATTCTTCTTCTTTTGTTTTCAGGCCTTGATTTATTACTGTGAAGCACTAACCCAGCCCAACCTCCAGCTGCAGAAAGCAGCTTGCTTGGCTCTAAGATACCTCAAGGTAAGAGACAAGGAATACACTGTGGTGCTTGGCTTTGCTTTTGAAAGGACATCTGATAGGTACAAACAACAAAATAGAAATTTCAATAATAGCAGCAGTAGTGTTTTTGTTTTGTGTTGCTGTGCTCCATCCCTTTTCAGATAAAGGGAATGGGTTAGAACCTTCTAAACCACAAACACCTGGATTCTGTGACCTTGGCAATGTTTTATCTTTTGCATATCATCTTTTCCTCCCTCTCATATTGACTTCAGGAGACTCAGTTCCACATCACAGAGAAAAAAATGTTAATCCATAAAGTACTGACTGAGAAGGACAAAAAAGTGCTTTCCCAGGATAAAATGAGCTCTAATGCATGTGGGCTGCAGTAGAAGAAAAGAGAGATCACAGCTTGTTTTGTGACAAATAACTGGTACATGTGGGCACTACAGCTTCAGCTAGCATCTGGTACCATCTTTGCACTCCAGCCTTTGGCAGGATGGGAAAATGCACTTTTATTTTGGTTGTATAGCCATGGGAGACAGCAGCCACCCAGGCCTGGGTGATATGGGATACTGGGGCAAAAAATATGTTCCATGAGACAGATGCACTTTGGACTGACTATTTCTCTGTCTAATCTGTCTCCCGGAAGGCAGCTCTAAACTGTAACTTCATCCCAGTCACAACTGATGCCATTCAATACATAATCCAGTTTAAATATGAAAAACCCTTTCCCTTAAATGAGAAGCTAGCAGGCATCCCTGAGAGGCAATGGTGAGGCACATTACATCTCTGCTGCATGCGGCTGCAGTGCGGTTTTTGAGTGCTCAGGAAAACTCAGACTAGGAAGCAGTGGTGGGAACTGGAGCTGGACAAGTTTAACTTGAGCAGTGTGACTTCAGTGAGTCTTGTGGCTGGGGAAAAAAGCTACTGAGGGGAAATGTCATCATTTGGAATCTTCAAAGAAAAAGCTGAAGCTGGAAGTTATTACTTCAGAGATGGAAATGCTACAATGGATA